TTACAAGACTCACTTTCGTTACATGACTCACTTTCGTCACATGACTCACTTTCGTTAGATGACGTGAGTACCGTTTACTTACATTACGTAATCATCCGTGAAATAAATATTCATTATGGAATGAAAATGAAGGGGTTCGACTCAATGCACGGCATTTACAAGCTTGACCCTCAAGCACGTTAGTCAAGAATGGTGATTATCTCGAATCACTTTATTTCTGAAGGAACCCTGCTTTGATATTAGATATATAAAGTTTTTAATATTTTCCTCCCATTATTAAAGAACGTGCACGAATTTCTTGAAACATGGAAAACGCACACAAAATGATGCTTAAAATATTGTGTTTTTCGTCATGGGAATACATAGATTGTCTATTTTATTATTTTCTGCCATTGTTATACATTGAGGATGTCCACGTATTTCTGCTGTACTTCAACACGATTCATACAAAATACGTAGAATTATAATAAAAAATTTCATTCGAAAAGAACAAGTCAATTAATTATTTAAATTTACGATTCTGTAATTTCATACACTAAATGCAATGCAACGACCTCACTAAATAAATTAACATCAACCATTCAATGAACCTCCAATACTTTGAAATTTAAAATATTATCGCAATAATATTCTTAAATTTAAAAACAATTGCACTACAAAACACAACAATGTTGCACCCAATATTAACGCGATAACAAAATTGAGTCATTTTCTATGTAAAAGTGGAATGCAAATAAACTTTAGTATACATAATTGAATAAAAATTAAAGAATACGAAACAATCCTTAACTCTGTACAGGCCAGCGATAATTTTGAAGATACTTGTACGGTTGACACGTTACGTACAATGTCAGCTGAGTTTTGTGGTACAATTGTGGGTATTATTCCGGTGTAAATAAAACGTGGTAGGTTTTAACAGGAAAATATAGATCACGCGCGTCTAAATTAATGACTGGATGGAAGAATACGATTAGCGAATTGTAGTTTATGACTGGATGGAAGAAAACGACTAGCGAATTGTAGTTTATTACTTGATGGAACAAAAACGACTAGCGAATTGTAGTTTATGACTTGATGGAAGAAAACGATTAGCGAATTGTAGTTTATGACTTGATGGAACAAAAACGACTAGCGAATTGTAGTTTATGACTTGATGGAACAAAACGACTAGCGAATTGTAGTTTATGACTTGATGGAACAAAACGACTAGCGCATTGTAGTTTATGACTTGATGGAACAAAAACGACTAGCGCATTGTAGTTTATGACTTGATGGAACAAAAACGACTAGCGCATTGTAGTTTATGACTTGATGGAACAAAACGACTAGTGCATTGGAAGTTTTTTTGCAGTTGCCGTCGGCATGAGCGACCAGGAGAAGGTGATCGGTAAATTGCAATTGACTAGTGGAATTAAATCGTGGTTAAGTAGGTACTGGTAACGTAGTTAAGTAGGTAACGGTAACGTAGTTTATAAGAAGGTAACGCTTATAGGACGGCGGTTTAAGAATATATTACCGCTATAGCTGTAGTTTTATCTTCCACAGATTATAGACTTAGAAGTACGTATTCAAACGACTTTGTGTGGAGATATTATTTCAGTCACTGACTAGAAACATGTTTAATAATCCATGATTACAAACAAGTGAAGACAAGATGCGGGCATAGCTTACTGAATTATATTCTTTTAGGCGTCAGAGAAAACTGATACACTGAAGCAATGGTATTTCTTTTTAATTTATTTTTTATACATAGATGATAATTACACAGCGACGGAGATAAATGCTGAATTCATTTTCAATTAGCAACATCAGTATAATTGATGAGAATGTAACATATATGTTTTAAATCTTAGTTTGTAGATAAATTCGAATCTAACCGGAATTAATTAATAAAGTTTTCATTGCAACAAGGTAACACGCGGTCAACTGCGCCTCTCATTACACAAATAAACCTTGTATGATGTACAACCATGACACCTTGTATGAAATACATTATAATCTTGTACGAAATAAATTATAATCTTGTATGAAATAAATTATAATCTTGTATGAAATACAACATTATAATCTTTTCGTAGTGTTGTAATAAAGATCAAAGTGCTATGCACAACTCAAGCTTTAGTAATATCATCCATAGTTGCCTTTAACATAATATAATTTGTCCATACACTCAGATAAATAAGGCCATATTGTCGAAATAATAACACACTTGCCGTAACAAGGCGGCGAACTGGACGTCATTCTTGACTTGGAAGACATTTTAACGCAAGATTTAAATGCTAAGGGAAGATCTTGAAGAAATCTTAACCATCTCTCCGCCGTATTTACCGCAAGAAAATAACAGTTAGAAGTTATTTATATTATGTCTTTAATTTGGAGGAGACACGAAATGTTCGAAATAATTTGTACACTCCTTATTGTTCAGGAAAATGTGTTGCTTCGTTAACTGTAAAAGTTTAATTTTATTTAACCTCTTCAGCGTTGTTCACACTCAAGAATTGTCTTCCTTTTATCCATTAGAATTACATTAGGTAAATGAACAACGAATATTCTATTTATATAGTTCAACTTCATACTCACATTTACCCAGTACGAGTTTGAAAGGTCAATAGAATTTCCATGCATGAGTATAGTTTTCAAACTTTCTATATATCACATTAAGATATTGATAATATCAATGGTATATGGTTAATGTAGTTAATGTTTACATCTTCTCGCTCAGTCACATCCTGCACGAAGAGTATGGCGGAGTGAGTCAAAATGACTCAACTTGCATTTTTTGTTCAAAATGCGCCCAATTTTGTTCAAATAATAATAATAAATGAAAAATAATATATAAAATAATTTTTTTTGACTCACTTTTATTCTACAACTCACTCAGGGCTAAATTTAAAAATAACACTTTTCGGGTAAAGTATTTAGCATTTAAATGAGTCATGCAACAAAAGTGAGTCAATGAGACCCAGTAAAGTGCATTAAATTATCCACAAAGGACAATAGACCATGCAGATAAGTAACTCTGAATCACGCATGTCACCTACATATTAAAAAATTAATGTCTTGAGTATACTGAATTAATATTCAGCTTGAATATACTGTCCAAAATGTGACACCCTTTCTGCACGCGGCGCTGATACGCCTTTTAGCTCAGCGAAACTGGGTCAGGATGACCCACACAAGGGCAAAAAGTTCGTCGCTATTCGGACAAAATCTCACAAATTTCCCAGAGTGCATGATACATCGCACTGAATTACCGTACATTAGCTTACGTTTAACAACGGCCCTATAGTGACATTAAAGCACCAAAGGTTCGAGTATCTCTGTACAATAGCTCGCAAGTACATCATAAATTACGCGAGCATTTCCATACAACTTATAAACATAATTCAATAATTATACCATAAAATTTGCATCCCTGTAACTGGCCATAAAATAATCTCGTTAAAAATTAATTGAAACATAAAACGTTGACACAAAATAACTGATTTAAATTAAACTAAAAATAAAGGTTACAAGTTTACGCAAACAAGCCAAAATTAAGAACTTCAAAACGTATTAACAATTGGAAACGTTGCATAAGACTTCAAAATGTAGCACATAAAACGTAACGTCACATTTTATAACATAACGTAACACTTGGGCAGCACATAAGTACCCCAATGTACAACGTACAACGATATTGATATGACTTGACGAGGCGAGGGCGGTATGTCGAGTGTACACTCTCACAAAAATGAATGGGGCATGTTGTCCAAATGGGGACACTTTTTTCCCACAGCACGAGCAGAGAGCGGACGTAGAACTTCACGCGCTCTTTGCTGCTAAACAGCGTCAGTGTGACTCATAAAAGCGTAAAAATGCATCGCTCTTTGGACAAAGACTCCCTCATTTGTTTGAGGGTAGACAGCTCTAGAACTATGCCCTCGGAATTCGGGATCGAAATTCCACTTGGAAATGCCGTACATGGAATGCGAGATGCGGGTAGCCTGCGAGCTTCTTGTATTGGCTGCACAGTACGGCTTGAATATAACGGAAATGTTCTTTAAGTTAAGAATATAATACAGACGCGAATGGTTTACACGAATGGGAAGCTACCTGATGATTGAAAACAATAAACCCTAATATATACTTTTGCATTAAATTTAATTAGGAAGTAATATCGATCATTTTCTATGATAAAATACATAGAAAAAAGCGATCAGATTAATGTCTAAACGCTGACTAAAAAAGTTTTAGATGTATAATTATTATTGGGTTAATAACCATTCTGTTATCAGTGGTTATATTAATCACTGCACAAGCCTTATTCATCATTTCACCGTTCTGTGTAGATGACGGTTATTAGTTATACGAGGTAGATGAATGACACCTCATTCATCTACATACTACATCCATCGGAACGTTGCTCGCACCATTAAATCATACTGCAAAATGTTACCCAGCATCTGACATGTTTATTAGCAATTACCTCCATACGCCATAAAGTTCAGCATATTTACCTTCCTTGCTGGCTTTCGAGTTAAAATCAAAGATGAAATCTCATAAAGTCTTAATTTATAACTTATAGTCCAGGCAAGAGCTTGTTCAGTCTGATAAATATATTATACTAAAAATGAGTCACGCATTCATCACTCTTAGTTGATCATCTCGAGCGTAAACGTGTCGAATAAAATATTTGACGTTTGCGAGTTAAAACTCGTTGAATAAAGTATTTGACGTTTGCGAGTTAAAACGTGTTGAATAAAATATTTGACGTTTGCGAGTTAAAACGTGTCGAATAAATTATTTGACGTTTGCGAGTTAAAACGTGTTGAATAAAATATTTGAAGTTTGCGAGTTTAAACGTGTCGAATAAAATATTTGACGTTTGCGAGTTAAATCGTGTTGAATAAAATATTTGACGTTTGCGAGTTAAAACGTGTCGAATAAAATATTTGACGTTTGCGAGTTAAAACGTGTCGAATAAAATATTTGATGTTTGCGAGTTAAAACGTGTCATATAAAATATTTGACGTTTGCAAGTTAAAACGTGTCGCATAAAATATTTGACGTTTGCGAGTTAAAACGTATCGAATAAAATACTTAATGTTTGGGAGTTAAAAAGTGGTGAACAAAATATTTAATATTTGCGAGCTCACACGTGTTGAATAAACTCAGGATTGAGGTAGGAGAATCCAGTGAACTCGGTCTGGTCGAGGTTCATGAGGAAGAGCTTGTCGGTGGGGGTGAGCTCGGTGCGCTCCGACGTGAACTGCTTGTCGAAGTTGCTTACGTCCTTGCGGTGCCGCTGTCGGGGAAATAATACAAATAATGATAATAATAACAATAATAAAAATATACTTAAAATATTAAAGATAATAATAGTGATATTGATGTGTCAGAACCAACGTTATCATAATAATTACAATAATTACCAGAACTAACGTCAATGAGGTGACATAAGCAATATGTTCACAACCGGTTATTAGGCTGCGATTCCTACGATTATGTTATTACCTTTGGTGAGATGCTGTGTTTAACCGCGTACTTACGAAGAGGAGTTCGGTAAAGATTTTTTACGATCGGGATTAGCTGTTATGCTCAATAATAATATAATAATAATGCACAATCCACATGCACAACAATAAACAAAAGCAGAGCCAGAAATGAAGAAATGATAACATAACAATGTTCAACTAGATATACATTAAAGCCATTAATATATTCAGCCATTAAGAGAATTTATTTTAATACAATTTCAAAGTTCAGGTGCCTTACCTGAAGTGTATTTGTCCAAGGATCATGTATCTCCAGAACAATGCAAGCCATGCTAATGAGGTGACCGAGCGAATACAGAGGTGATAATTCCTTTAATGCAAGAAGGTTTACCAAAGTTATGTACGAAATAATCGTTGGAAGATCGTAACGTTATCAATATATCACTCAATAGCCTACATTGTTTTAAAAAATAAATAGGTGACCACCAACAAGCGCTACAAGGTTCAATTTTTTAATAAATAATAAAAGAAAATAAAATTTAAATAAGCAAAGTGAACACTTTTTCAGAATCGCGCTCCCGACTTGACCTACGCTGGCGCTACGAGTCCAGTGTCATCAATGTACAGAAGCACCGAGACTGCCATCATTTACGTCTCTAACATATACGTGCGAGATGTGTTCATTTTACACTCCTGTACTTATGACACGCACCGATTTGATTTTATACTCCTGCTTTTACTATATGCACCAGTGTAAATTTTACACTATTGCCCTTACTATACGCTTGTCACTCAGAACTCTTACGACCATCGTGTAAAAAAGAGGGAAATGAAAGAATACCTTAGGTTTAATTTTTAGAGGGAAAATAGTTATATTTATAGGACACCGTGCACAGCAGTTGCAATATTTTTGTTTTAATTAACTCCCTGGGTGTCCGGAAGTGAGTTCATTGCGCGGTATCAACCGTCTCCTAACTTAAAACCTACAAAGCATTTGTTGATTTTGAAGAACTGAACTATAAGTGAGCAAACTAGAGTAATAACCTCGCTACCGCGAGCCATGTTCTTGACACCTGCTTTTCGGTAACATATTAGAACAAAGGACGCGTCTTCACAGTTGATGGTAAGTAAATTTAAAATATGGTAAGTATTTAACAGTGAGATAAAATTTTTCAGCACGAAGGACATCAAACACAACAAATTCAAAACATAAATCCTAACCAAATTTTTTTCCAATTCGATACAATTGAACAAAAAGCTTGATTTGCTACCGTAATTAGTGAGAAATGTAACATTAATGGATACGTTAGCACAAGGCAACATCTCATATTCAGTAATTAAAGAAGGCAATAAAATAAACCCCATCCCAAAATTTCCGTCAACAGCAAACAACTTCACGGAGCGCTTCTATACGAACATAAAAATAGACACCATGTAAAAATACACGTTATTTTACAGCGTAGATAAATCCAGAGAAATGTTAAAATCCATAAAACATTTAGGATTTCAATAAGACCAATTGAAATTTCCAAGTGCATCAGACAGTTAAATGGAATTAAACACGATCAACGGACTCCGCTCGATTTACTGAAGTAGTAAAGGTGAGACTAAACCTATATAATGTTGGTATAAGTATATTCAACGACTCTACGTGACATAAGCTACACGAGTAACTTTCTTAGGCTACACTAAATAGACTATGAAGGCAGGGTAAGATAGTGCATCAAGTTAAATATGTTTATAGTTCAGAATACCAGCTCCACGGTGTAACTTGAGTCTCATTAGCAAGCAAACTTCCCCTATAACGTGGTTAATGTGCGTAATTTTAAGAGAAATTAGAATATTCACAAATAAAATCTTGCTGAATGTGTATCTTTTCAGTAGTTACAACTGAATGCGTATCTTTACAACACAACTTGTTTTGAACACAGATTTTCGCAAAAGTATTTTGAGAGAGTATTTCAAGAAGAAAATTTCGCCGAAAGCAGACCGTTGAAAACATGTTTCAAACGCGCAGTTTCACAAAAAAATTGTACCCAACAGGTATCTCTACGGAAAAATCTTTCTGACCTTTCATTTTCGAAAGCAAACAATGCAACACAACAACAGCCCAGCACGCGATTCAAATAAAATTTATATAGCAGTAGCAGAAGCTCCAGTCGCCCATAAAATTATTGGTTTTGTTAACAGATCATTAGGCTCGAAACGATAGAGCAGTTCCGAGGAAAATTGAACGCGTCATAGAAAGACAATAAATCAATTTTAGTTTGAACCTTTTTAAATGGATAACAAATCGTCCTGTATAATTTAATATTAAATCAAGTATCCGTTCACAATTAGTTAACTGAATAATTAAACCAAATATTCGAAATGTTATGTAGCTAACAAGTTAGAAACATCTACTGTTTTTAACGCCTGCTACAGAAATGTGAACTTACAAACTGTAGCGAATGTCATGTCGGCAACCTGAAATATTTCTGTTTCTCACTAACGCAGCCCACGAATGATACGGTGAACAGGTGAGTATTACAAGGTTATAGTTAAGTGCAAGTAATTAGCAAGGCAATAGAGCTCCACCACATAAACTATTAGTATAACAATACTAAGAAATCTTCTAAAGAAATGGATCAAAGAACGTCTGATGCTAACTATTCTAGATAAGGAAGAAAGGACTGCAACTCAGCCATTCGGATGATGGTAGCAAGTCTACGAATATTGAACTATGGAGCATCTGACTAAGATAAAATGTCATGGTCATTACATTCCCTTGAATACGATGATCGTCAGGTTTATCTGATAACCGTGAATACGTTTATCTGATAACCGATGGATCGTCAGGTTTATCTGATAACCGTGAATACGATAAAGTTCGATTCAAACCTTAGAACCACGATTGGTGGATGTATGTACGACATCGCGAGTCTCGAACCTCCTGGTTATCTAATAGAAAGTTATAATATCGAAAGTGAATAATATCTAATAGAAAGTTATACGGATAAGTTCATATTATAATATATTTATTCTATCTCAAACATCAATGTTGGACTAATAAGACGTATTTTAATCTTGGAACATCAAACTGACAACTAATGCTACTTGAGAAGTGATGCATAAGAAGGCAAAGGAATGCATATAAGATATTAAGTAGGACTTCAGCTCATCACAAGACGTCACATCACAACCACGCTCGTCTGCGCAGCAGAACAATAACTGCAGAGCAATAACTGCAGAGCAATAACTGCAGAGCAATAACTGCAGAGCAATAACTGCAGAGCAATAACTGCAGAGCAATAACTGCAGAACAATAACTGCAGAACATTAACTGCAAAGCAATAACTTCGGAGCAATAACTGCAGAACAATAACTTCGGAGCAATAACTGCAGAACAATAACTGCGGAACAGTAACTGCAGAACAATAACTGCAGAAAATGTCAAACAATAAGCGGCCTTCATCGCATAGAACTGCCATTTGCACATGCAGATACAGTACGTGCAGCCTATATGTAGGTACAGATTCGCCATGTGTACCATATTTTCAGGTGCAAATACGGTATGTGTTCAGTATTAGCACATACAGATACGCCATGTGTACCGTATTTGCAGGTACAGACACAGTATATGCACAATATATGCAGGTACAGACGCAGTATTTGCAGGTACAGACGCAGTAATCGCACAAAATTTGCAGAAGCAGATACGGGCGCACTAGGATTATCAAAAGGACAATACGTTCAATATGTTCACCTCAAAAAATATCAAACAAGTTGACTTTTTGTCGACCCTAATACTAGTATCCATGGAGCACTGAGAAAAATGTGCGGGTAATATTGTCCAGAGACAGAGAACGGAAGCAGCACTGGTACGCCCATTTGCAGGGTCAAACTGGGTCTGGATGACCCACTGCCTCGCCATTAGAAAAAGTCTCACACATTTCTCATGTGTGATGTAAGAAAGGCGTGTACAATGGTAAGCTTCATGCCCAGTATTGTCAAAAACGGTCAAGTCTTAGCACACATGACAAGGAATTAAAGAGACAATACAAAGATCATTCAAACAATCCTCGTATTTTGTCCTAAATGTTACTTTTGTTCAACTGATAAATTATCTTAAGCAAGAAACGCTAAATATTTTACGAAAAATTATAAGTCACGTCAATCGCACGCAAGCCTGTTCACTGTTCAGGGTCGCTTGATGACCTGTTCGGAGTTAATAAATATAAAGGATCAAAAGTACGGTAGCTACAGAATATTGTATACTAGGTGTAGAGGTGCATGCATAGATCTAAACCTGGTGATTAAAATACTACACTACAATAATATTCTTATGGCTAATCACCTACAATTTGCGTGGCTATAATTGTCCGCGGCTGGTGAACTCAAAATTGTATTCCAATCACAAGGACAAAATTTCGTCATCCAAAGCCACTGTCGTCCAAAAAATTTTTAGATGGACTTTAAAATTCGAAATATTAACACTATTTTTCCTTCGCCATTGACGTTAAATCTGTTTAGTGTGCTTAAAATCGCGATGATAAACACGCGCTTTTGCGTCCAAATATTAATTCTTGAGTATAATTCAGAACGCAAGTTAAATTTTCGTAGTTATGCAGATTTACGCGCCTTCCGTACGATATTCCGACGTAGATTGTAAAATCCGCGCACAGGCAAAGAAAACTTGAGTACTCATCTTGTAGATAGTGACGAAAAAATGGTTTTCCGTTGTATTTTTTATGAAAATATTTTTTCAGCTATCTTCAAAGTATTGAAGATCATAATTCTGTATGAAGATTCAACAATTAGTTCACCAAAT